GGTAGTGAATTTGCGCCGACAGGCTTGGCAGCCATGGTGCCGCCGGGCGCGCGCTGCTCCCCGTTCCGAACTCGCCTTCGAAGGGGTCGTCGTCCAGGCTGCGCGGTGGGCCCCGACTTCCGCGGCGAGATCGACGCAATCATGTCGAGCGTCCGCCCGCGGGCGCGCGTGGTCGAGCAGGACTGCTGTGTCGCGCAGCTCGTCCTGGAACGCGTCGTCGACGATGCCGAGATCGCTGTCGTTCCCAAACTTCCTGCGTCATCTCGTGGATCTGGAGGCTTCCGCCCCGAGAGGCGGGCGGCGAGATGTCCGCAGGGTCTCTCGGCGCCCGTGGCGCGGGGGCTCCAAGGAGCGGCTTCGCAAGGAGGTCGCCAGGCCGGGCCGTCGGCTAATTCCGCCGACCTGCTCCAGCAGCGGGCAGCTGGGAAGCCGTTGTCCGACTGCGCGTTCCCCGGCCCCAGCTGCGGCACGCTGTGCCTCGCGATCGGCGCGACAGGGGGCGAGGCCCACCTCGGCCCAGACCCCCCCCCATACCTGGCGCACCCGGGTCAAGGGCGCCAGCGCCAGGGTCGCGATCTTCGGCTGGCATGGCCAACGGCGGTAACGACCGCCAGTGCAACGGATGATCGATGCCCGCGTGCTCCGCGCGAGCCTGCGTCGGGCTTGCCGCGGGCCTCTGGCCCAGGGGCCAGCCGCGCTCGCCGGGGCGCCCATCTGCAGCCAGTTGTGTCGATGCAGCATCGAGCTGGAGGGGCGCATCGATGACTGGGCGATCGTCGACCGAAGACGGGTTTCGGCTGTGATGCGCCGCAAGGGGTGCGACTTGCACCGCGCTGCAGTTTTCTCTGCCCTTCAAGGGCGCATCGAGAAGAGTTCGCTTCAAAAGCGGCGCGGCGGCAGTCTGTTCGCCAGACGCGAACGCATCTTCTACTCTTGTGGTCAACCGCATGGCACGCCGCATGCGCGGCACCTGGCAGCGCGCCCAGGGCCGGGCGCCTTTGCGCACCTCTTCCAGAACTATGGCAGAACGCAGTGTTAGGGCCCCTTGGCAACTCGACTCTGCCCCGTCGACGACATCTGGAGGGCCCCTGGGGACTCGATTCTGCCCTCGCCGACCGCGTCTGAAGGGTGCCTGGGAAATCGATTTTGCCCCCGCCGACGCCGTCTGGTCGCGGGGCGCGAAGGGGCGCGCCCGCGGCCGCGAGCGCGCGCGGCCTAGGGGGGCGTCCGGTGACTGCGTTGCTAGCGCTTGCCCGATGGCAGGGCGCATGCGCCGAAAGAGGAATATCCAGGGGGGCCGCGTGCCCGAGGCGCGCGAGAAGCTCGCCCAGGAACGTTGCGCCGACTGCGACGCCGTCATCATTGGGCTGCTTGCTCGCACTGTCATTGCTGGCAGCAGTTTCGCTCGCGCGGGCGGTGTTGCGCCGCGCAGCGTCGCCCCCGCGCCGCGGCCGTCCGTGCCGCCGCCGCCCGGGGCAGACGATGCGGGCCAGGTATCTGGCGCCTGTGGCCCCTTTGCTGGCCCTTCTCCCGTCGGAGAAGTGCAGCCCGGACGACCGCGGTTGCGCTTCCGAGGGGTCGTTCTGCAACGCGTGATCGATGCCGCGTCGATGTCGCGCATCAGCCGCGCCTCCCGGGCCCGCGCTGCCGAGTCCAGGAAGAGCCTCTTCAGCTTTGGCGACCGGGTGGGGATCCATAGGCCCCCGGGCACGAAGGGCGCGTCGGGCTGGGCAGCGAGGCGGGCGTCGTTGCGCATGCTGTCCGCAGAGGCCGCGCGCCTCCCAGCCCTGGTGTGCGTCGCCGTGGATGTCGAGAAGGCGTTCCCGTAAGGTGAAGCACTCTGGGTGGGCCTCGCCCTGCCGCCCTGCAGTTCAGCAGTCGTCAGGCAGATGCTTATATGGGAATTTCGACGCGCGGGCCGAGTGCCAGGGCTGCATCGAGCCCGGTAAGGGCAGCATGGGTGCGCACCGAGCCTTCCCCGTGAAGCTCGCCCGGGTCGCGGTCTCAAAGGGGGGCAGCGCCGTGCCCGCGAGGTGGCCCTGAGCTGGAGGTCGAGCATGACGTCTTGTGTTTGTGGTACAAGCGGCTCGTAGCTAGTGCTCATGTTGTCCAAGCATGTTGACGATCTGAAGGTCGCTTGGCGCGAGGAGCGCGTCGACTGGCTGATCGGCCGCATCGAGGGTGCTTCGGCAAAATGAGGAGCGACTACGATGATTTCACCGACTGCGGAGTGCACCGGCGCCGCTGTGCCGATGGTAAGGCGACGCTCGACTTGGGCGAGTGCATCGACGCCTCGTCGCCGATCTTGCGCGTCGACCTATTCCAGGCTGGGGCCGGCGTGCCGACCAGAGGTCAGCTCCCAGACTTCTTTGTCTCCCTCCTGGGGGCAGCGGCCTGCGCCTTGCCGGCCCAGCATCGCGTCGCAATGCGCATCGTCGTCTTGCAAGAAGTCAATCACAAGCTGATCCGTCGCGTGATGAATCTCAACTCGGTCGTTCTGGCCGCTTAGATGGCCGCGGCATGCATCGCCTTTCCAGCGACGGAGTGTGCCGGGCGATTCAGCGCGCGCAGCCACGGGTCGTGTTGGAGGGGGGGGGGAGACAGGATACGGCATGAGAGGAACCGTATATATAGTCGTCCCGGCAAGCAAGTGCCGCCGCATCGGCGAACAGGTGCGGCTTTTGCTTGGCGCAGTGGGCCGATTTCACAAGCTGGTGTGCATGTCCTCGTTCGGACCAGAGCTGTTCGCAGCGTGCGGCGCAGCCGACGGGTTGCAGACGGAATTCCTTGCGTTGCGCGAGATGGTGCACGGCCCCGCCTCCGCCGAGGAGATCAGGGGGCTGGCGGGGGGAGGGGGGTGGGGCGATCCCTTCAGACCTCGTCGTCGACGGCGTGTCCGTCTTCGGCGCCTTCTGCATGGATCCAGTGCGGCCGCCTTCCGAGAACAGCATTCCTGGTCATCTGTTGTAGTTCGCTGACTTAGCTCCGCGCCCAGCAAATCGAATGCCTGCTTTGGTGCGATGCTCGGGACGCGCGGGCCGACTCCAGGATCAAGGGCAGCATTGGCCGGGAGCTCATCCTCAAGGTAATGGACAGCCAGACCACCTATGACCACGACACGTTCAAGCTTAGCGATGAATTGAAGAAGAAGAAGAAGAAACATACCGCTCCGAGCTCCCATCACAGTTCTCTCGCCCAACAGTGTAGCCGACCCTTGTGACTGTGTTACAAGGTCGGCCGCATCATCACGCTGCACGGATTGACGGTGAGAACCATGATGAAGTCGAGCACAGAAGCGAATCTTGTTCCCGTGGACTGTTTCAGTGTGCCGGCAGCGTCCATTTAGTGCGTGGGCCACCAATCATCTTTCCCTCGCAGTGGCCGGACCGTTTTTTGGATAAAGAGCGGGCGGTTATTCGAGCGTTTTTGTGCAGCTGTCTCGTAGTGGGGTTGCTGCCAGTAGAGCCAACGAGGGCACGACGGACCTGTTTGAACACTGGGCTCAAAAGGTGTCTGCTTTACCCATTCCACCCTTTCTTTGCCAGTCCCTGTCCGCTTCCGTTTTAGGGATCGATCCGAGCGCGCCAGCTCTTAGACTCCGTGTCAACCGCTTTCATCCGCTATACAAGCGTATCCCGTGTTAGATCACATCACCCCTTGCGTCTCATTTTTTGGTCTCGTCCTCCTCCCCCACGTCCTCCTCCTCCTCCTCCTCCTCCTCCTCCTCCTCCTCCTCCTCCTCGCACCGAAATTCTAGTGTTATGTGTGCGTCGCCACCTGAGGGGCGACGCGCGCGTCGAGACACTTTGTAGGATGAGTTCCGTGGCGGGCGCTTCGTGGCCAAGTTGATGGGGCAACGATGGGCTACAATGTTCGGCTTGGGCGCGCGTTTTCGAAGAGGACACATTGTGCTAACAGGTGCTGGTGCGCTCCACGCAAGCACGGGCCGCATGCCGGGGTTCGCCGCCCGCCGCTGTCGGCACAAGGGGGGTGGAGGCCAAGGCTTCGCGCAGGGGAATGGCCAAAATTGTTTTCTTTCCGTTGAGTCGACGAAGCACATGTATAATGATCCGTAGATCCATAGGGCACTCGACGCAGCCTTCGTCGATCCGACGGAAAAAACAACTCCGGGGGAAATCAACTTTGTAGTCGATCCCCCCCTCGAGAGCTGCACTCTGCAGCGCCGTGCCCTGGTCGAGGGCAGGACTCGCTCTGGGCACTGCCCCCTTGCAGGAGGGACGGGGAGGCCTTCTGGCGTGGGCGGGAAGGCATCGGTACAGTGGGGACCCATACCATGGAACACCCTGCTTGCCTCCAGGGTACTCTGGATTTCTTGGGTTTCGATCGTCTTGCGATGGAAAGCGCAACGCTCCCACGCCAAAAAACAATGGACGTCCTGGGGTCTCAGGGTCGGGTTTCTCGTGGAGGGTTTCTTTGTGGTCGAGCCCCTACTTTCTTATATCTACGGCCTCGCGGCCCGGCCGTCCTCGGAGGCGATCCCCCGCAGATCTATACAGGGAGGCTTTGCGCGGACGCCCCGTGCAGATCTCCTCATCCATCCCGTTGTCGCGGACATGTCGGCGGCGCGCCAGGGAGGGCGTGGACGTGTCGGCGGCGCGCCAGGGGGCCTCCTCCTCCCGCTCCTCCTCCTCCTCCTCCTCCTCCTCCCCTCCTCCTCCTCCTCCTCCTCCTCCCTCCTCCTCCTCCTCCTCCTCCTCCTCCTCCTCCTCCTCCTCCCCTCCCCTCCCCTCCCCCTCCCCTCCCCCCTCCTCCCCCTCCCCTCCCCCCCCCCCTCCCGCTTTCTCGGAAGGCAGTGTGGCCTCCCAGAGGCCCTCCTGGCTTTTGGGAAGCCTTCTGTGGCTTCGGAGGAGGCTTAGAGAGCTTCTCAGAAGGCCAGGGGCCTTCTGCTAGCCTTCAGAGCAGGCCAGCCTTCTGTGTTTTCCCCATGTGCGCGCGGCCGAAGTTGCTTCTGCTCATCGTTCGTGGCCCTGCCCTGCCAGGTCGGGAGTTCCTGTGCTCTGGCCGCTTCACCATAGCCGACGTGTGCATCGCCTACGCGCTCCTGCTCGGAACGCGCTTCGGCTTCGACAAGCGCTACTCGCCGCAGGTCAAGGCCTACCTGGACCGCATGTCGGAGCGCGCCGCGTTCCGGGCGGCGCAGGACCACGAGGCCGCCTCGGGGGCCCGCGCCGCTGACACCACCCCCAGAGATCCTCGACCCTCCACCCTCGATCCTCGATCCTGGACCGAGGGTCCAGGGTCCTGGATCGATGGCCCAGGGCTCGAGGCCTGAGGATCGAAAGTCGGTGATCGAGGCCCCAGGGCCGCTGTCGAGCGTCGAGGATCCGGGGCCGCCGCCTCGGAGGGAGGTCCGCTCCCGCTCCCGACGGCGGCGGCGGGGTGCGCGAGGCCGCCCTCCCCGGTTCTGGAGGCCAGCCGCCGAGCCCTCGCAGTGAGGGCTGCTCATGCTCCTCCTCCTCCTCCTCCTCGTCGTCGTCCTCCTCCTCCTCCTCCTCCTGCTCCTCCTCCTCCTCCTCCTCCTCCTCCTTCTCCTCCTCCCCCTCCTCCCTCGCCTCCCCTTCCCCTTCGGTGGGCCCCTCCTCGGGCGCCTCCCCGGTCTCCGCTCGTGCGCCCAGGCGCGGGGGCGGCCAAGAGGGGGGCGATGATTCTGTAGGCTTACGCCACATCCGCCGACCCCTGTATACACTGTTGCGCCTCCATGGCTGCATTTCACGAGGGTTGTCCGAATCTTGACACGGCGCTCGACATCCTTCCTGTTGCTTCGTTGCTGTTATCGTGCCTCTTGGTGCTCTTTCGTGGCCTTTTGGTGGCATCTTGGCCTGCCTGCAAGCCATATCCGGCCGCCTCGAGGCATCTTGGGGCAAGTTTTGGGGCCTCTTGGGGCTTCCTGGGGGCTTTTTGGAGGCCTTTGGGGTTCTCCTGGGGGTCCCCCAGGGCTTCTTGGGGTGTTCTTGGGGCAGGCTGGGGGCGTCTTGAGGCCGAAGGCTCGATAAGGTGCCATCTGGACTCCCTCTGGGAGCCGTCCAGGGGCCCTCTTGGACTGTCTTGGGGGCTTCGTGGGGTGTTTTCGGACCCTCTTCGACCCCTCTTGGGGGCCCCTTCGGCCGTCTGGGGGCGATATTGAAGGTTTCTTTGCCCGTCTTGGACGTTGTGAAAGCCGAAAAGGCGAGTACGCGAACAATGTTGTTTTTTCAAGAGAAATGGGGCGATTTTTGTTTCTTGGGACCCTCTTGGGACGCATCTTGGGGGCCTTTTGGGGCGTCTTGGCAGCTTAGGTTGGCGGACTAGGGGGGGTGGATTTCATGGCGTCGGCCATTATAGTTCCTCAGATTTCATGGCGCCTCTTCTTATTCCATTGCGTCCCTGGTCCCCTCTGAGCCCCGCACACGCCGCTGGCCATGATTTGCGCCCCGCCCTCTTGGACGCCCCCCTGTTGGCCGCCCCCAAGAAGGGGCTGCGGCTCCCTGACCCGAAGCTGGGTCCGTTTCGATACGACCTATCCGATTCGACGTCGACGCCGGCCCGCTCGATCTGAGTAGGCCCCGATTTTCCGACGAGCCGGTGCGGCCCGATGCCTGCGTGGCGTTGGTGTGCATGTCGGCGCGGTCGGTCCGATCTCGGTTCCGACTCCATGCTCCATGCCGATGCGGTCCGATTCGATGTGCCGATCTCATTCGATCCGGCTCACCGACTCGTCAAAGGCGCCGTCGAGGGCGCGAAATTATTCTCGCTTCGCGCTTCGCGGTTTGGCTCCGATTCCCCTTCATTCTCTTTTTCTCCCTTGGGGCGCAGCGCGAGGGTCCGAAGGTATTCGCGCTTGCGCGCTTCGCGCGGCGCGAAGCGCGAAGTTGGGCGCCCGACTCGGTGCTGTCTGATCCTGCCCAGGGCTCCCTCTGTGGCAGGGGGCTTTGGTGCCGGGTGGCGCGACTCGTTCGGGGCCATGTGTATCAGGAGGAAAAGAAACACACAGACACAATTAATCCTCGACTCCCAGGAAAATATGGGAAAATATGGGAAGTGCGGGGAAGACACAATTCCAGAACATATGGGAAAGTATGGGGATTTTTTATTTGTGTGTATTTATTTGTGTGTCCTGGGGCCCCTTCAGTGTAGTCAGGGGCAGCGTTGGAGGGGGACCAGCCCCAAGAGAGCCCTCGCGGACGCGGGGTTACTCGCGCTGCGCGCTCCGGCTCGGATTCTCGGGTTTCTCCTCCTCCTCTGCTCCTCTCGGGGGGCGGCGCGGGAGCGCGAAGTGATTCGCTCGTCGCGCTTCCCTCAGCGCGAGGCGCGAAGTTGGGCGCCCTTGTTACCAGCCTGGAACATATCCCTATCCCTATGCTGGGCACCTCCTCATCACGATGCCAATATTAGGGATTCCCTTATTTTTTGAGGGCGAATCCCTAAGATTGTCATCGCCTTTTGGCGTGCCAATCTTAGGGATAGGGATACGTTCGAGGCTGGTAACCTTGAGCTCGGGTG